TATACCAGCTACCTCCATGTCATAAAGGCTTAGTCATGTCTCTTGACCAACCAATGAGCTGGTGCCCTGACAATGTCCAAACTGAATGGTCAAGCACATACTCAATGCTTACTTGGGCAATTGCACTGAAGAGCTCTCTCAATGATGTACTTCTTGTCCATGAGCATGCAAGCAAGCTATCTCAGTACCACATCTCTCAGGCTGGATGGGAGTGCATCAAAAAGATAACCAATATCCTCCATGTTGCTCATCATGGACAGCAACTCCTCTCAGCTGACAGCCATCCAACATTACACCTCTTGATCCCTGCACTCCAGTCTCCTATCTTTGAGTGGAAGAAGATACAAGATCTTGACTTCCCCGATGATCAGCAGATGCAACAGGTTCTGCAAGCCAGAATCCAAAAGCTGCAAGATTACCATGTATATATGGAGAAGTGTGATGCCTATGCTATTGCAATGATCCTTACTCCACATGTCAAGATGAGGTACCTTGAGTGCTGGTGGACTGAAGAATGCCATCTGTATCCTGGTCGGTCACTTGCCCAGCATGCTAGCTTGTCATTCACATTTGCATTCAACTCCTTTTATGGCCAAGCACACATGGATGAAGCACCTCAGCCCTCCAACTCTCGGTGCAGCAGCCTATATGACCCAGTGAATTCTGCACTACCTGAGTACCATTGCTATCTCAAGGAAGATCCCACTCCACCCCCTGAGAATGGTGGTCCAGATGCGCTTGTTTATTGGCAGACACACAGCAAACAGTACCCAGCTCTAGCTCGAATGGCACTTGACTATCTGGCCATCCAGGGCTCTGCAACACCTGTGGAGCGTGTCTGGAGTAGTGCTGCCCAGACTGACACTCAAAACCGAAATCGACTCTCACCTGAACGATTTGAAGCACTGCAATTTCTCAAGGCTGCATTCCGAAAAGAGCGAGAGGCACAGTTGACTCCAGATGAGAGAAAGGAGAGAAGGGAGGAGCGGCTTCACCAGCTGAAACTAGATGCATGGCAGGAGGTACCATATGATGACGTAGAATTCCTCCTGAATGAGGCTGCCTGTCTTTAGCATTGCAATATATGGACCATTTTGGGACGGTCCAGTCCGGTCCTTGAACCGTCCAGGACCGGACTGATTGAGGACTGGACCAGGACTGCAACTTGTCAAAAATCCGGGACCGTCCAGGACTGGACCGGACTGGACCGGACCGATGCCATCCCTAGGATGTCGGCTGATGGAAGGCGTAGTGGTTCAGGGAAAAGGGATACGACTGCGATATCACGGGGTTGCGTGCGTATCACCCAGCCATGCTCAACTTCGAGGGATGGTTGCGACTCAAGCATGAGGAGTGACATGCTCGAATGGGTATATGATGTGACCGGTATCGTCAAAGTTAGCCTGTATGCAAGAAATGAATTGTTCTGTACCTGGTACAATGGCGAAGTGGCCAGTGAAAACTGCTCCCACCTTGCGCCTCTATCGATCCTCCCCCTCATCCCCAGACTCGCCAGGTGTACCTGAAGTCTCGCGTCCCGACTCGTCGATTTCCCCCCGCTTCTGATTTTCCCTCTCTCTCCTCTTGACATTACCAATCCACTGCGGATCCTCCTCCCTCTCCTTCTTCTCCTTCCTCATCCTATGGGATCGACTCCTTAAATGCTCCTCCCACTGTCTACCCTCATCGTACATCATCGGTCTTTTAAGGGCATGAGAACACGTCGGACAGGTATGCTTTCGGTGTCGTGCGAGGTTGGCGAGCGGTCTGGCAAGAGCCTTAGCGCGAAGGAGAGGTGTTGGGATAAGCACTCACGAAGCCGCGATCTTGTCGGAGACGAGAAGCTCGGCTGCAACGCCTGACAGAGAAGTAGATTCAGGCAATTCCTTTTGTTGCACAAATTCTACAGCGCTCTCAGTCACTTCCGGGAACGTTGACCCAAGCTCGCATACTCATGGTCAGATCCACCGCAACATCTCTTACTTGTTCTTCCCACTTGCCGAGGTCGGTCGCATCAAGCACGAACACATCAATGTGTCCTTTCGCGGTTTTGGCTGCCACAACAGCCGGCAGAAACTTGTTCTTCATCCATGCTACTTGGTGTTTCGCGTAATTGCGCGTGGCACGTTTAGTGGATGCCACCCCTTCATCAAATTGTGCTTCGGTTGGGGAGGGTGAGGAGAGGTAAGTGTCGAATTCCTTATACCCTGTGTCAAAGACATGAGTTCTCCGACCATAGAGGTGGGGTCACAAATACCTATGCTCTGGAAGATGCCCATTGTCGCGAGGGTACGAGGATCAAGGCCAGTTTCTGCTTGTATCTTTGCAGCGATACTGCGCATCGTCGTGATTTCGGACACCAGTCCATTCTTTAGCATCTGTTCCACCCGCGTGTCCAACCGAGGTCCTAAGCTATCGGGTTTGGAATATAGCCAGAAGACGATGCAAGGGAATCTTCGAGATGTAAGTATAGCCTTGTCTTTCAGATTTACGGATCGGTCATACCTCGGCTCGGGAACACCCTCCTCTTCCTGGGTAGCAAGGAGTTTACTTCCAGTCATCCCGCTCTGTTTGATGATCTGAACACTTCGGAGTACTTTTCTCGAGTCACGCCAGTGCCATCGCTCAGCCATCCTTGAGTCGAGCACCTTGAGAAGGTTGTACAGTCGCATGCACAAAGTGTCGTCAGTGATATCTGCCGATGTCTCGGGCAGGTTTTGCCACAGCTCATGAAGCTCGGTCGATAACCCAGATACAGCAGTTTGCACCTCTTCGTGAGTTTCAATAGCTTCTTTATTCGACAGCTGAGCAGCTGATAATGAGGAAGTCTGTAGGGATGGCAGCTTGCTGTGCAGAAGCAGGTGCTGAACCCAGTAGGAGGTACCGCCCACAACAATGGGTATACCACCTTCTTCGTGAATAGATCGTATCTAACATAATCAACTTCAGACGAAGTCGGTATGCTAGACAGTACGAATTTACCGTTCGCAGAGCATCCTTAATCCAGTCGGCAAGCTTGTACTCTTGACCCGGGTTGTTGATGTTTATCAGACAATGAGGTACTCCCTGCATCTCATCCACAGATATCTTGTTTATTATAACATCCAGTCCAATGTATGTTTGCATAGCATCTGCATTGATGACCTTCGCCGTGCGACGTAGGGAAGATGTTAGGCGAAGTGCAAGTTCGACAGCCAATTGCGATTTGCCAACACCCGTGGTGCCCATGATGGCAATGAGCGGATGTGACAAAGCGTTCATGTTGGCAGAATGATCACTGCCGTCATCATCATCCACGACGCTTCCAGCCAGATGTACCAACTTCGCCCCAGAGCCGCGCGAGTGACAAAAATAAGCGCTCAAGATGGTCGTTGGATGAATGGAACAGGTCCAGGAGGTCGGTCAAGGGCAAAGATTGGTTCCGCAGCACTTTTTTCGTTACTGTCGTCCTGCCCATCTTCTCTCCTCGACAGAATCAAATGAAGTCCCATTAGCAGGATTATCACATTACACTCTAGAATATACATGGGATGCCCAGCCTCTTCCGACTATCCTTGGGAATCGCTCGGTCAGTAGCCACCTCAACATTGACCATATCCAAACCAATCCAACCAGGAACAAACCAGCTATCATGACATATCCAGGCACCATGTTGCCTTCCTCCGAGACGAAAGTGCTCGACGTCAACGTTGGCGGCTTTCCGTCCAATTCCGGGCGAAAATCTAGAGCGACGGAGGCTACGTAGAGAAAGACGAATGCCGTGGCTTGTGTAAGTACCACCCCGATTGCGAACACTGGCAGCAAGAAGCGTATGAACGCAGGGATGGCAGCTCTTGATCTTCTGAAACGAGATGTTGCTTGCACGAGCATGGGAAGAAAGAACCCAGCCGCGAACAAGAGGGCAGACCAGCGCATAAAAGCCTAACCATGGGCGTGATGTGAGAATGTCTCCAAACTGACAGCTAGAAGACCACCTACAGGATCTCCTCTCACCGCCGAGAAGATAAGCACAACGATAGCTATAAATGCTGCACCACCGATGGCAGCAAGACCATCGAACAAAGGTGAATAATTATCTAAGACCGTCTGTGACATTGTTAATTGTTTGATCCTGACTGAGACATGGGATCATGTCTGACTTCTAGTCGCACTCGGGCAATATCATGTCGACTCCGCACCAACTTTTCGAGCTCCACAATCTGGGAGAACGTGCATAAGCTGAAGCTCAATAAACATCATGATCTCTGCATACTCGTTGGTCCAGTTTATTTTCAAGCTCGATGTTGGAGAGATATTCCTTGGCAAACGCTACATCTGCTTCCTGCGCTGCATTCAGCAACGCGACCTGTTTAAGTCGAGCAGTCCTGGTTGCATTGCGCTAAACGGCTGAGTCTAGGAGAAAACGTACGAGTCGAAGGTGACTCACAAAGCGCTGCACCAGTTCGAGTTCTCTCATTGGGCATTCATCTTGAATATCAATAACAAGTCTTGCCTCCTCTGACTTTGTTGCTTGGGAGGTCATCTTTTGGGGACCGCGGTGTTATCAGCCACGAAACAAACAAGTCATCAAGCAACCCTATGACCGTTAGGAGTGGGGAGAAGAATAGGAATCGCGTTGTTCCCACGCGGATCAGAGAACTTTACAAGGCTGTGCAACAGCAATGCATCGTTGTTAATCAACCTTCCGTGGAGCATCTGTTGTTGGCTGCATATCCATACTACACTCATCCACAGTCGGCATTTGATATTTGAAACAAATTTCACCATACCATGAAGGGATGGAGCCTTGTAACAAGGGAGGAGATCCTACCCGTTCCACCAGATAAGAGGCAGTCTAAGACTGCCACTGAGAGGAAGAACGAAATCAAGGATACCCTTTTCAGGAACATCATCGCCATCAACTCTTCCCTTGCAGTGCAGAGTGAAAACTTTTTCCGGTATTCGCGGCGGCACAACAAAGGGATCGCCATATTGATTCATTTCCTGTGATTGTATATCCACTGATATGCGCCTCAAGAAGAGGCTGTTCCCATTGGTTCTAAATCTAATGCTATGTTAACAATAGAGAAATGCGCGCCAGGTCTATGCTCTAAGACGATGCAGGTAATAAGACAACAAGCACGGACAAGGGGTATAGTGGAGAGTTTTGGGGCCGTAGACGAGTTGAGAGGTGCAAGAAAAATGGCATGTACCCGCAATGGCCAGGTTTTCAAACAGCGAGCGTGATCCCCACCATTATCCTGCATAGACATCACAAATTACGATAAGTTGAAAGTTGAGAAATGGGTCATCACAATCCGGCAGGTGCGAGGCTCAAGCTCTGGGAGACCGGGCGCGTCGGGGACTGTCGTGAGTTCTTCGCCTTCTGAGACTGTCAAGAGACAAACCACCTCCATCGTCTTCGTCGTTCTCAGGCTCCTCCTCGTCAGACTCGTCATAATCGGACACTGATCTAACTCTTGATCGGCTAGGCCCAGACACAGGCGACTGAGTTCGACGTGGCTGAGACTGTGCGCGCAGCACCGTTGCCTCCATTGGCTGTCCGATAGGAGATAACCGCGCCAAGGGGCTTGACGCACGCCGATTACCAAATCCAGGTTTTAGGCGCCGTTCCAGAGGTGGGTTCGGCATTGGGAAATGATAATCGCCAGTTTGCGCAGCCAGTGGTCGATCGTCCTCTTCGTCAACTGGAACGGGTGCCTCTGAAATTTCGGAGGCTGCATCGGAAAGGATGCGAGGTTCATCAGGGTCGGAGCTGGAGCGATGGTCACCTCCGTGGAGAGGCGAAAGATTATGGGGGTCGACAAGATATGCAAGCCCGGGGCCGAGACCCATCTGATCCAGGGAGAGTGGCAGCGAAGGCGGTGGTACCATACGAGTGATCTCTGCTGCTGCGGCTTCGCTGGCATAGCCGCTTCGGGCATATGAGCCATAGTCTTCGTCCCCGCTCTCGAGATCTTCGCCGACGTCAAAGTCAAAGTCGTCCTGATCACCGGAGACAGACTCGGAATAGTCTCCCGTTACGTCCATAACGTGTGATATCTCAACCGAGGGCCGTCCCAAACTGCCATTGGAATCGAGATAGAGCTCTCTTTCATGTCTTTCGTGAGGACTGCCCACTGGTGTCGGCCGTTGAGAGGAAGAAAATGGGTGAAAGAGCTTCTGCCATCGGTTGGATGATGGACCCGGCGCATCGGAAAGAAAAGGATTTTGTTGGTGGCTATTGGGAACAGATGTAGACAGGGAGGACAAATTGGTGGCCGATGGGTTTCGTGGGGATTCGCGCCCATGTGCAGAGGAACGTCTTCCACGCGGTGTACTTGACACACCATAACCAATGCTGACTTCGGAGTCGTAAGCGGAGCTCTCGTTGTTGTAGGACACGCTGATAGTCGGTGATCGAGGTCGACTACTATCATTGCTTCGGAAGGGCTGTAATCCCGATAGTCGCCGTCCAAGCTGAGGACTACGAATAGCACTCGGGGTGCTCGAGCCAGATCTGAAGCTGAAATCCAAAGGACCGAGCTTTTCCCTTCGTCGTTGACTGAGCGACACGGTAGAAGCACCGGGATGTTCCTCATAGTTGCTTGTCGCGATGCTTGATACGCTCTGCCGCCGATCCTTGAGTGTCAAGTCTCGCGGACTTTTGGCCTTTGTCTTTTGTCCTCGCCTAAGAAAGGCAGTAAGGGCCTTCCTGAAGCGCGAGATGTTGGTGTCCTCTTCAACGATCGCCTTGTCCTCTTCAGAAGGATCGACCTCAATGCGGTCGGCCTCAGCGGAATACCTGTCAAACAGCCACTCCCTGAGGCTATCTCCTTCCAAATCGCGGAGAATCCAAGGATGACGCTAGAAGCAAATGGAAGTAAGAATCCATCTCCTGAACACGTATATGCTGGCGTACCTTTAGTTCCCTCAGGGTAATCCGCTTCTCTGGATCTTTCTCGAGAAGTTTGGAGAACATATCCAGGGCTTCTGATCCCTCCAGGCTGTTCATGGGCACAGCATTAGAGCCCATCGTTTCCGGAAATGTGAAAATCCAATAGGGGATATCTTGCATCAGCTTGCCAATGCCAGCTGTAAAATTCCCGTACGGGCTGCTTGCAAAGAGAAGGAAGTAGCATGTGATTCCAAGTGCCCAGACATCGATGGCGGTGGTGGGCATAGTTGGCGGTCGATCAACTTGCACGGTTCGAGCGGATGATGCGCTGCTGGCACGAAAAATGTGTGGACGAACGGTGGAGCTCGGTGAGGCCAGCCCAGGAAGGTCTCCCTCAGACTCGCTTTCAGCAATGCTCTTTCGTCTTGAGTGGGGTTGTGGATATGCAAAGGACTGAAAATGATATGGTCCAGCCTCAAACTGTCGGAAATTCTCCTCCTCAGGTGCGATCACCGCGCCCGTGTCGCACAGTTCAGGAGCGAGACAAGCAGGGCTACCGGCCGCCTTAGCGAGGTCGCGGTCGTCCAGCAATAATGAGTCGTGGACCTCATCCTCGGCCGCACGACCAGCAGACTTAAGACGGAGTGCATACGAGAAGACTGCAGTTCCGAAATCGCCAATCTTGACATTACCCTCTGCGTCTTCTAGAAGGTTACTTGGCTTGATGTCACGATGGATTATGCCTTGATGATGTACTAGAACACAAATTAGGACATATGTACCCGTAACATGGTTGATGAGACGTACGGTACTCCAGACCAGCGATCGTATCCCGCATGATCTCCCGCACTCTGCTGACAGGCATGATAGGTTGAACACCTTCCTGACCCGTTCTCCACTTCACCTCGCCCCTCGCCATGTATTCCAACACCAGGATCATGCTCATGCGTTTGGGGTCATCGATAACCTCGAGTAGTTTGACTAGATTCGGGTGATCGCATTTCTTCATCACAGCAATTTCACGTTTTTGTTTGTTTAGATGTTCCTGAAGAGCGGTGGGGACTGGCATGCTCGGATCTGTCTTGTGTGCTAGTATCCATTTGCGGTATTCGACCTTGAGTTTGAAGTTGAGTGAGTCTTCCTTCCACTTGCGCACAGTTTTAAGGGCCTGTGTGACTGTTAGCGCAAGTAAGGGATGTGTCATAGGCGTTGGACGTACCACCAGTCTATTCAAGCTGAGATCCTGCGCTAGATACACCGTTCCGTGCTGTCCAGCTCCAAGTTTCTTGATGATCACATACTGATTCACCATGCGACGTTTCGTGTGGTGGTGGTCATGTAGGACCGCCGTGCTCGTCTCCCTGACCGTACGATTCGTTCCTGAGCGGATGAGGGAGGCGGGTCGTGAGCTGCTGGCAGTAGCCGCGGAGGATTGCATTGTTTGCTACGACCAGGCTTTGTAGATGGAGGATCCGGGCAGGCTATCGACATAGATGTCGATCACGTACTTTGTACGTAAACCCTAACGGGGCCAAGGACGTCGGTGTACTCGCAGTAGTCGAGTGTGCAAGGGTGTGAGCACGAGGTGAGTAAGGGCTCAAGAGGCTTGTGAGGTACAAGGCTGGTGAGGGGGCGGGAAGGGGTAGTGCAAGGTATGGGGGGTGCAAGGACAGCGAGGAGGAGATGTTATGTATAGTGGGGTTGTAAGGGGGAAAGGCGGAGATGTGTGTGCGATGTGGGCGGAGAAGGCGTCAATAGAAGCGCGAATGGGGGGAGGGCTGCCGAGAGAGAGGGAGGTGCGTGTGCCGTATCGGGCTAATAGAGGGAGGTATTAATGCCTCCACTCGGAGCCTTTCAAATCTGTTATTGCCAGCCAAAGGGAACACGTACCAAGTTCGTTTCGTCCGCGTATATCACCCCTCTTTTCCCCGACCGATAGGAAGAGTGAACCTTGCTGGTAGCTTGTTGCACGGCCGGCCACCGACGAAGGAGAAGATGCCGTTACACTTTCTGGACCGTTGTTCTCGAGCGACAGTCTTTATTCATCGACCAACGCCGGCCCTCGCGTGCGACAATGGGGTATGTTGTAAAAGAATTCGTGTGTGTCCCCTTGACCAATACAGAACCCCCATTCCCATCTG